TGGTTTTGCACCACAAAGCGGCCAGCCACTATGTGTCTGAGGCCCTGTACGGCTCTGAGCTCAGCTGCAGCATCAACTTCCCCAGCAAGAAGGCCCAGCAGCAGCTCTGGCTACAGTACCAGAAAGGTGAGCATGCTGACATACAGGAACAAAACCCAAAAAGGGGGGGCAGTGTGGCTTAACAGCATACCACTAAACAAAGCAGACAATTGAGTGCTCCAGCCGTATAGCTTAAAGTTTGACCTATGTAAATCCACATTTATACAAAAATACTATGGATATTTTAGTTGTTTCATAAACGTTTATTGCACTCAGATAATCAACAATACAAACAGGAATTCGAATACACAGAGATGTCTTTGATTTGTTCAACACACTGTAAAGTTCACAGCCTCCGAAAGACGTAACACCTGAAGGACATGGGAGTTTGGTTCAAGGATACTGTATATTGCAAACATTATGAGCCAACAGTATAAATTACTAAACTGAAGAAGTATGCAAGGAAATAAGTTCTGTTCAAAGACATATAATAAAACATATTCAGAATGTGAGACACAGATGTTCAGCGCACTGACACAAGGACACTTGATTTTTGTAGCATTTTATGCATTTTTCTGTCATTGTAAAAGTCTGAATATTTTCCAGTAATGACTATTTCTATTGACCACTTGAATAAAGTGAAAGCACTGAGAGAAAAATGTTGTCTTGATGAAAGGTTGACATGCAGCAGAATCTATTTAGTGTTGATATACAAGATTGCTGGTCAGGTGAAACAAAAAAAGCACAAGGATATGACTGTGACAGACTTCACCTGATATTTAAACTGAGCTTTATTTTTTCTCCTAATTTATTTGCTTATGTATAAATACTAAATACACATTTACAATATAGATTTTCACATGTATATTTGTATGTTTTGGGTTAACAGGGCTCCAGGTGCAAAGTTAAGGTCAACTTTGTGTAATTATTTATTTTTAAGGCTGAAACTGGATCAGACTGTGATATGCTCTTATGAGCAAACCTGGACTGGAAGAAACTTATTGCCTCAGACCATATTTACTATTTGACTTTATGGACAGAATATGTTACATACAGTATTATTAGGTGGGTTTCAATGATTAACTTGATTCCCAATATTTAGGCCACTTAAATATTTTGATTAAAGGTGTATTTTATTATTATTTTACCTGAAAGCATCATCTTTCACATGCTTCATATGAACTCAAAAATGTACATGATAAAATATATAAACTACATGCTGACAGCGACCAGTTTTATCTGAACTAATAACTAGTACTTACAAGCAAAACACTGTATATGGCTGTTGTCATTACCATGTCCACTGACACAGGCTTCAAGTTGTCTAGTGTTGAATAGAAACCTGAGGGAGTGACAGCAACACAGAACCAGCATCCCGTTGTACTAAAGCCAAATTTGGTGTGTGATGCTGGAGTTTTCAGTCATCATTAAGTGCTGTCCGGAAAACTGCTGTAAGCGCCTTCAAAGACTGTGTAACCACTGTCCATATGAAGGGAAACAATAGCATAGAACATGTTCTCTTGAAGAAATGTCATGTTTGAACAAAGCCTGTAAGCATCACATATACTGTAAATATCTGCTGTCCCTTTATGCTTGAGCTATTAAGTTATGCTGGCACTGCAACAAAAAGTAATTTGAAGATAACTGTATAATGTAGTTGAGAGCAAGCCTATATGGAAATGGAAGAACAGAACCTTGCACTCTTAAGGGCCATGCAGGTTACACGCATCTTCTGGGACTCCAGAACTTTGCTACTATGTTAATGAATGAACACAGTTCTGTCTGACAGTTAGATCAAAACATCTTACACTAACTTCAATGGTGCCAAAGAGGTATTCAAGTAGGACTATACAAACAACATGAAAAGGGAGCTACAGTGTTAGTGGTCATATGTAAAACTAATCAACGCTAATGCTGCAGTGTAAGCTGAAGGGGATGTAGAGGCCTAAAGCCAAGGTGAGATATACGAAAAGCTGTAATACAACCAGGACTGGATGATAAGAATTTTAATCTTGAAGATGTAACTTCAGCTTGCCTCCTAGTGATATGGTAAGCCATTGCTAGTGGCAAGGAAGTCATGATGAAATCTGATTTTAAAAACCTTTGCAATGAAAATGGCACTGAAGCAAAATACTGCACGATTATGTTCTCAACTGGTTACTCGGGTTATGGTTGATGTACGCAAGTCAGATAGGCAGTATCATTAAGTACTGCAACCAAATGATACTCTGTTCTACAATTTTAACCTTGTAAAGCCCAACATATAAAAAATGGCCAGAACATTCTAATTTTTTGGAATTGAGATGTTTATTAAGCCTTTTAACAATATCCAAAATATAATTCAAGATTCACGATTTTTATTTGCCATATATGCACAGACGGACAGTCCAGGCATATAGGAATAGAGGTGCCATATTATTTAGATTATTTTTTTTTTTTTTTTTTTTTTTTTTTGTATCACATTTGATACATGGGGCATTTTTGGCGATTTTGTTTGCTCAGAAACCTCACGTATCAAATATGATACAAATGGCTTTATAGGGTTAAAATCAGTAAACCTAATTCTTTCATAAACACAGCAACCTTCAAAGAAGCTTAAAAAAAGGACAAATTTTACCAAATTATGGTGTTTTCTTTATAATAGACCTACACAAACGATTTCTTCAGACAGTGCCAGTAAAAGTTATGTAACCCACAGAACCCAGCTAAATAACTTATTAGCATTACCCAGCTTTCCTCAACAGCACATAATGTTAGGATTTTGTAGTTTTTTCCTGTAGGCCACTTAATACGCCACATGTAATGTTTGCTGTATGTTAGTGAATGCAATTCAATGAATGATACTTGACTACTGTTTTGCCATTAGCTAACTGAACAGTACATTTTAAAGCTGCCAGCTGCATTCAGCAACATCAGTGTTAATCTGTGCTACTTAAACCTAACACTAGGAAACAGTGACGTGTCGATAATAAAGTGCGTCACAGGCCAAAAGCCTTGGTATTCTTTATTTCATATGTAAATACATGTTCATTTCCAGTTCTCCTGCTGCGCTTCTATTGCAAAGCTGTGCCAAGTCAGTGAAAGCCATGCATCACAGTCAGGCTGAATGGTGGATATGGCAGCCAGTAATAGAAGAGTGAAAATCATCTGTTCTTTGTGCCTGCATTAGCTTTGACATCAATGGCTTCTTTTGCTTATTTAAGTGTTAAATTGCGCCAGCTTTGTTCAATGTAGAACGTTGCTAGGTCTCTTAATATTGATTCATTAAAATAACCAGGTGAGAGGCATCTTATTTTACTGTGTTTTACTTTGAGGTATTAAATTAAAATCCAATAGAATTAAACCAAACCAAACATTCATTTAATAAATCAACAGTTAACAGTGTCTTTATGCCATTTCAAACCTTCCATACACATGAACCAATACATACCTACTCAGCCTATTATGCTCACGTGTAAATAGACTGGACTGTTTATCTAAGAAGTGAAGGAGTGCCTCCTTTGAGTGTATGTGTAGACTTTCACACAATGGTCCCAACAATCTAGCACTAGCAATTGTCCTTTCTGGGTCGTAGCCACTCCCACAGGGCAGGTCAACCCTTCCTGGATGAGAATTTTGAATCCACCCTCTTTGAGAAACTGGAGGATTTCTTTCCTGCCACTGTCTGTTACCAGCAAATCCCCGTTTGCATCCACACACATGCCAGTGATGCAGCGGAAGTCCTCTGTCTCTGCAAAGAAATGGCTGAGCTGCTTGCCTAGCTGGCCATCAGTACCCACTGAACCAATGGAGAAGCCACCTTCCAGGTGCGGCTCATTGTGGCGTTTCTCAAAATTCAGGGCCAGGCCCTGGGTGAAATAGACTGTCCCAGCTGCATCACACGTCACAAACTTTGGCCGCACAGCAGAGCACAATCGGCTATAGCTGACCACACCTACACTGCGGTCCACAGTTAGACACCACAGCTTGCCACCTTCCACATCTGACACCACAAACTGGCCTGATGGCATGGCAGTAATGCCCCAGGGTTTAATCAGTTGGTTCTTGTGGCAAGCCACACAGTGTCCATCCATAGTGTAGACTTTAACTGAGTTGTCATAATTGTCAGTGACCCCAATCAGACCTTGAGGAGTGACAGCAATGGATAATGGGATGAGGTTAGGCAAGTCAGCCCCAAGGAAGCTCAGGACAAAGTTGTCAATGCTACTGGCATTGCGGCGGATTTCGCGCTGGAAACCTTTGCGATTGAAGATCTGGACACGGTAATTGCCACGATCAGCCACCAACACTTCACCTTGTGGTGTTACACAGATGCTGACAGGTAAATTGAACATACCAGGCAGAGTTCCCTTACAGCCCATCTTCTTCACGAATTGGCATACTGGGGGCCCTGCACTTGGCCCAGCTGTTCCAGGTGGTCCCCCACCTGCATCCAGGGACTTTGACTTAAAGCTGCCTGGTGAACCACTTACCAGCTCCTCTACTGCGGAAACCATATCAATATCTCGGTAAAGATCCACCGGAGCCCCCACTGCACCACCTGTTGCCCCAACTGCCCCAGCTACACCCTCTACATCACCTTCAAGTGCAATCTCCAACCCACTCTCCTCATCATCTGTATTGACAGTATAAGTGTTTGCGGTCAATTGGCCCACTGCTAAAGGTTTAGAGTGCTCTGTTCTGACCAGCTCTGGCTCTTGCAGCTGAAAGGTAGTAGGCAAGTTGCTCCTGAGATCCAGCTCCTCATCATCACCGCCTCCACCATCATCCTTTAGCAAGGCAATATCAGTCTGCCTCACCCTCACTGTCAGATAATCACACCGTGACACCACTTTTACCTCTGCAATGTTAAGGAGATATGTCTGCTCTTCTAAGACCTGCCCATTGAACTTTTCCACTTCTGCCATGGAAGCTGTGAAAGTCCTTCGAGACCTGCCCATCTCCTCTTGAAGACGTAGCTCAGCTGTAGTATAATCCTGCTGCATTGCCCGGTACTTTTGTCTCAAAGACTTGGAAATATTTTCAATAACTGTCTTTTTCCTCTGAATTTCACCCATAACCTCACGCAGAGCAGCCAGCTTGCCACCCAGTTCTTTACGACGCTGTTCAGCAGCCACCCTAATCAGCTGGACTGAATGGCCTTGATGCAGATGGCCCTCCTCTTTACAGACCTCACAGAGGACTGTTGCACAGTCATAGCAGTACTGCCGGGGTAGACGGTTGCAGCAGAACTTACACATTAGAGCAGCAGCAGCAGCACTGCAGGACATAGTACAGTCTAGGATCTTGAGCACAGTGAGATTGTCAGCCAGCTGGGAGATACTGCTCATACGGGAGACCTTGCTACAGAAGGGGCAGCGCACACCATTGATGGTATTAGCCAACAGCTTCTCTAGACACTGCCGGCATACTGTGTGACCACACTGCAGGAGTTTGGGTCTCATTTGTTCCTGGTTGTATGTCTCCAAACAGATAGGGCATTCAAGCACCTCCCTCATTAGGTCCGGGTCCAGCGGGGAAGAAGCTACCGCCATTATGATTCTTTCCCTGGGTGATAAAAAAAAAAACAAAGGAAGGTTTTGTAACATTTTTCCATTCTGTGCAAAATTCTACTGAGTGCAAAATACTGTATGTGACTAACTCACGTGAGTAGATAACCAAGTATGTAAAAATTATTATGCCTCACAGCTGGGTATTTTGAAATGAGGGTTAAAAGCAGCTAAAAAACTCAGATTTGATGCAAATGTGGCTGCTTTATTATCTGTAGCTAATGAGTTTATCTTGGTAACATTAGTGACCTAGCATCATCAAGATTTTACCTTTGTATTGAACTAACATGATGTTAATTTTGGAGTAATTTGAAGTTCGTTTAATGTTAGTGCTTTGTCTGACAGGGGTGACCAAATTAGTTAATGATATCATTGCATGTTTTTCTAGTTTCCTTCTCCAGCTAGTTCACACACATGAATTTAATTGAATAATTATATGGCTCTTATACGTTTTTCAACTGATACTGGACTGAATTAATCAAATTTTGATCATCAAAAGTTGCTTCACCTCAGGCTAAATTTAAAAGCTAGTAGCTAAATAAAAGCCACTGGTCCTTAATCGCGGCCCTAATTCGCAGTCACCAGAGCTTTCTCCTGGATTGCCAATTTACTTGTTAGCTGCGGATGGAGGCTATATTTTGTACAGTTTGCTACAACCGGGCATCCGTAGTATACTTGGTTGCTAGAAAACAGGACGTGATGTGAGAGGCAAAGAGCGTTCAGTTTGTTTTAGACTCACTAGAAGACCCTGTAGTGTCGAAAAGAAATTAGGTAGAGTAACTAAACAAAAAAAGCCACTAATCTAACGTTAATAGGTTGCTTTGCAGCTTTGACTAGCACAGCAAGTTGTCTCAAAGTATCTAGCTGTCACTGTAAGCTGACAAATAAAACGAAAGCAACTTACTGGGTGAGTTAACAACTAGGACACAATTGACTGTCCACAACTAAAGCAAGAGGGTGTGTTATTCATTACTAGACAACGTTAACACTAGTTACAATTCACCACATCCTCTTGTTAGAAGACAAAATACGCCTCCGCAATATGGCAGTTGAGCAAACAGATAAAACGAATTATTGCTATTTAATGTTAATCTATCAGTGAGCTAATAGTTAGTTCTAGCAATGCTAGTGAGAAGCAATATGGTGCCCTACGTTATATCTAGTCACAAGTCGGGGCCAGTCGCAGTATCGTGGACTTGTACTGCTCAAAAATAGGTTGACATTGCAGTCCCATGCTTAAGAACGAATTGGGTTACAGTGAAAATTACTAATATAACACATGTAAATACGGGGCCTCACTACAAGTTAGCAAATGTTAACGCCGTCCTTAGACAACGCCATAATGTTATTCAACATTATGTCCGGGATCATTTTGATAAACGTGCATTTCAACATAATACACTGAGCTTATCGCAGTGTCCCTGTTCAGACGTTTCTGCTTTAAAACATTACCTTTTCTTCAGTGTTGGCTGGTTGACAGTGCAGGACTCTTGATGGGCGTGCTACCGCAGCAAGCTAGTGAGAGACTGCAGTGCTGACGACGTTACGCACTCTCAGTCGAAACCTTGCGCAATACGTACGGCTCTGGGGCTTGTTTTGATTGGCTGTACGCCGGATTGCACACGAGCACGCCACGGTCTGTGGTCGCGATGCAGGGCAGGTGATTGTATTCATATCTGTCTTGTAAAATGAGCAGATTATATTAAGATCAGAAAGACCCACTGCCTTTCATTTGCCTTATTCTGAACAGAACAGTGGCAAAAGAGTTTGTTAGGCAAACTGGATTGTATTCATTTTCATGCATAGTGTTGTCTACGACTATAATAGTTACCTCATCAACATTGCAATTTATTTCATGCTAATTCAATATAATGTAAATTATCCTGAAATAGTAGTTATTTTCGGCAGGAATACATCATTGTATCTGTCTACCTGCAAAGAATCAAACTTCAAACCAACTTGTTAACTCGAGAGAACAGTAAAGTAAACAGACAGAGAACACGTCTAACAGAGAGAACCTGAAGTACACTCACAGGCTACAACTGCATTTGAAACCATACAGATTCACCTTTTAAACATAATGCAATAATTAGGGAGAGAGACCACTAGATGTCAGAATAGGTCTACTAGAAGATACACACCTCTACTCACAGAGTGACTAGATACAAGAGTGGGGATTATGAGATTTGCTTTTCTTTGGTCAAGCAGATTTTTTTTAAACAAATAGATTTCAAAGAAATGTGAATTGTGTATTTACACTGACAATTTTTAATTAGTCAATTAGCATATTTACCTCCACCAAGTAGGTGTTTGTTTGTTTGTTGATTTGTTCACAGGATAACTCGAAAACTAAAGAATGGATTTTGATGAAAATATTTGGAGAGGTAGGGTCTGGTCCATGGAAGAATCCATTAGATTTTGGTGCTGATCCGGATCATCATCCCAACCCAGGAATTTTTTAAAAAGGATTCTTCACCATTGTGAGGCAGGGCCAATCTCAACATTTTTGCTTCTAATTCCATAAACAATGCCTACAGTGCTTGGACAAAACTTGCATGATAGCATTCACATAACACCTACCACACAGTAAAGTATGATCTGCATCCAAGTAATATTCTGGAAGTTCTGATCCAGAATGTTCAAATTTATAGGGCTCATGGAAAACTGGCTACTGTGAGACAACAAATGTTGCTATGGACTTGCAACTAAGATCAAATTCTAGCTGAAATTCTGGTGATTCAGTAGAATGTTATCAGATTATCAGGTATAAATTTTCATGGTCAAGGAATCCTATTTTATGTGGTCATCATTGCTTTTAGGTGTAATGGCATAATGGGGGACAATGATCTGCCTTCTTGGAGGTTTGCACTGCCTAGTTTTACTGTGTTATGTTAATTCATGTTATTGTAAATTAATGGCCATTATACAGTACCGGCTGTTCAAATAAATGAATAGTCAGGTAGGTTCCAGTGTAAAGCTGAAGCTCACACTTCTAT